CAAATAATTAAAAGGGAAAATCTTTTTTTAACCCAAAGACACCCACTTATTTATAAACCCAAAGTATCACTTATTTATAAACCCAAAGTATCAAATACACCATATTTCTGGTGCTCCTCTCACTCAAAAAAACCCTAAAACACTCAAAAACACTCGATTACAGACGCATCGTGTTTATTGGCCGATTATCCACCGCGTCGGGCTGTCCTCGTTGAATTTCGAAGCTTCAGGCAAAGTATAGCACATTACGGGAAAGTATAGCACCTTATGGCCAAAGTATAGCACCTTATGAAATGGTTCTCGACAACTTGATGTGCAGAATTTTTAGAGAGCATAAGGTGCTATACTTTGACCTTAAGGTGCTATACTTTGCCCATAAGGTGCTATACTTTGCCATAAGGTGCTATACTTTGGCCATAAGGTGCTATACTTTCCCGTAAAGTGCTATACTTTGCCTGAAGCTTCGAAATTCAGCGAGGACCGCCCGACGCGGTAGATGATTGGCCAATAAATACGATGCGTCGATCGTCGAATGTTTTCGTTGCGGGGAAAAAAACTAAAATGGTTCTCGACAACTTGATGTGCAGAATTTTTAGAGAGCATAAGGTGCTATACTTTGACCTTAAGGTGCTATACTTTGCCCATAAGGTGCTATACTTTATCATAAGGTGCTATACTTTGGCCGTAAGGTGCTATACTTTCCCGTAAAGTGCTATACTTTGCCTGAAGCTTCGAAATTCAGCGAGGACCGCCCGACGCGGTAGATGATTGGCCAATAAATACGATGCGTCGATCGTCGAATGTTTTCGTTGCGGGGAAAAAAACTAAAATGGTTCTCGACAACTTGATGTGCAGAATTTTTAGAGAGCATAAGATGCTATACTTTGACCTTAAGGTGCTATACTTTGCCCATAAGGTGTTATACTTTATCATAAGGTGCTATACTTTGGTCATAAGGTGCTATACTTTCCCGTAAAGTGCTATACTTTGCCTGAAGCTTCGAAATTCAACGAGGACGGCCCGACGCGGTGGATAATCGGCCAATAAACACGATGCATCAGTAGTCGAGTGTTTTTGAGTGTTTTAGGGTTTTTTTTGAGTGGGAGGAGCACTAGAAATATGGTGTATTTGATACTTTGGGTTTATAAATAAGTGATACTTTGGGTTTATAAATAAGTGGGTGTTGTATTTTGGGTGTATGGATCATAATGAAAGAAGGTGGGTTTAAAAATAAGTTGGAGTAAAACTTTGGGTTAAAAGAAGATTTTCCCTAAAATAGTATAACAACGAACTTAATCACAATCTTGGATTCCAGTGCAGAGTACTAATAGTAGATTGTGTCATATTAACTGTCTGTATTGAACCCTAATCCAATTTCCTTATTATTGATTACTAATTACATATATGGCCATCTATATATTTGCTTACAAACGTATAAAGTCATGTCATGTAATAAGATTCCATGCCAAACACTCAGAGCACCTGAATAGTTGTCACCTGCATCCCATGTCCTATAACTCTGATACAGGATAAAAAAACCTCGCATTTTATGGATCCAAGACCTTCCATTATAAGCTCTTTAGTTCTTCGAATGACATTTATATATTAGCCTCTCATGATATCATATGCGAAACCAAGTTGAGGAGTTGCAGATGCACCCTAAAGTATTAGAGCAGTCTACAAGGACCAAACCTATATTTACTTAAAACAATGGGTCTGTACTAATATTTATGATGTATATAATGTGAATTCGATTTATTACATATATTATTTTACAGATTGATTTTTAGACCATTCGTTCACCACATGTTATTCCTGCTACTACTCTACCGACTTTTGCCTACTCTTCTCCAGATGCTCAGCGTTCTACATGTGCTGCTCAATGTTCTCCTCAGGATATTTCAACACAAAACTCTCTTGCTAGTCGATTGGGAGGCATGCTGGGGGACGCCTTAGGCGGCTTTACGTAGGAGGGCTATAGCGAGGAGGACATTCACAAAGCTTTTACATCTTATTTTCAATTAAGTCAGCCTTGACTTGTACTTTTAATTAACATACTTAAGACATCTTTATATTTTAGATATCCTCTTTATGTTTGGGACTTGAGTAATTTATAAATTGCTATATTCTGATTCTAGTCAATCTTTTGTTTTGGTTTTATGCATGGGAATATATATGTGATAAGCTTGCTCTGCAAGAAAATAGATAGGAAAAAGATGATGATTTGGATAAAATTTCTTAATGCAGATGCTTTTGGTGATTGGAACAAAACTAGAAGTGGTTATAACCAAGCTTTGTGTAAGAACTAAGCAACAAGTTCTGACTCCAGGCGTAGTTTCCGTAAAACCTGATGACAATTTATTCTGGTTTGCAAAGCCTATATTGATTCTGCATGCTATACATTTCATCCTAATCGAGCACTAGATTTCCAATCTTTATGGTCAATGTGTATTTTAGACATATTTACAGTATCCATTTAGATATTGCGTACAGAAGTTTCCCTTTTCTTTTCATTATGGCTACTGTGTACAGCTTTAGCATTATGCATTTAAACCAAAATTTATCCTCAAATAAAATTCTCATTAATAGGAATCTTCTCCTAACTTAACTTGACAGCAGGTATTATTAATTAGGGAAAATCTTTTTTTAACCTAAAGTTTTACTTCAACTTATTTTTAAACCCATCTTCTTTCATTATGATCCATACACCCAAAATACAACACCCACTTATTTATAAACCCAAAGTATCACTTATTTATAAACCCAAAGTATCAAATACACCATATTTCTGGTGCTCCTCCCACTCAAAAAAACCCTAAAACACTCAAAAACACTCGACTACTGACGCATCGTGTTTATTGGCCGATTATCCACCGCGTCGGGCTGTCCTCGTTGAATTTCGAAGCTTCAGGCAAAGTATAGCACTTTACGGGAAAGTATAGCACTTTATGGCCAAAGTATAGCACCTTATGACAAAGTATAGCACCTTATGGGCAAAGTATAGCACCTTAAGGTCAAAGTATAGCACCTTATGCTCTCTAAAAATTCTGCACATCAAGTTGTCGAGAACCATTTTAGTTTTTTTCCCCGCAACGAAAACATTCGACGATCGACGCATCGTATTTATTGGCCAATCATCTACCGCGTCGGGCGGTCCTCGCTGAATTTCGAAACTTCAGGCAAAGTATAGCACTTTATGGGGAAATATAGCACCTTATGACCAAAGTATAGCACATTATGACAAAATATAGCACCTTATGGTAAAATATAGCACCTTATAGGCAAAGTATAACACCTTATACCCAAAGTATAGCACCTTATCTCTCAGGCGGTCCTCGCTAAATTTCAAAGCTGCAGAATTTCCAGAGAGCATAAGGTGCTATACTTTGGGCATAAGGTGCTATACTTTGCCCATAAGGTGCTATACTTTGTCATAAGGTGCTATACTTTGGCCATAAAGTGCTATACTTTCCCGTAAAGTGCTATACTTTGCCTGAAGCTTCGAAATTCAGCGAGGACCGCCCGACGCGGTAGATGATTGGCCAATAAATACGATGCGTCGATCGTCGAATGTTTTCGTTGCGGGGAAAAAAACTAAAATGGTTCTCGACAACTTGATGTGCAGAATTTTTAGAGAGCATAAGATGCTATACTTTGACCTTAAGGTGCTATACTTTGCCCATAAGGTGTTATACTTTATCATAAGGTGCTATACTTTGGTCATAAGGTGCTATACTTTCCCGTAAAGTGCTATACTTTGCCTGAAGCTTCGAAATTCAACGAGGACGGCCCGACGCGGTGGATAATCGGCCAATAAACACGATGCATCAGTAGTCGAGTGTTTTTGAGTGTTTTAGGGTTTTTTTTGAGTGGGAGGAGCACTAGAAATATGGTGTATTTGATACTTTGGGTTTATAAATAAGTGATACTTTGGGTTTATAAATAAGTGGGTGTTGTATTTTGGGTGTATGGATCATAATGAAAGAAGGTGTGTTTAAAAATAAGTTTGAGTAAAACTTTGGGTTAAAAAAAGATTTTCCCTAATTAAAATAACCCCAATTTTATTCCCATGTGCATTGTTTTTCTTTTTCCCCCAAAAAATAAAAGACTAATTAGAAATTGAATACCTTCACCAACCTTTGCACTTACATACCTACTCGTTTTGAGAGAGGATAGAGAACCTGAAGTTTTTATATTGATACTTTAGAACCTTCTGTTATGTTGCACTTAAGTTCTAACATTAGAATTTTTTTAATCTTTAATGTTTTTTGAAATGATAAACTTATTGACTTCTATTTTAAACCTACCCAATACCGAAATATATGAATACAATACATAATTCCAAGTAGAAAAAAATATTTTTGGATGTAAACATTGCCTCCCTTAGGTCTTTTAATGATGCTTGAAAAGAATACGATACATATATTATGATATTTCATACTGCATATTGCAGCATGTCCAATATGTAGCTACTATCAACTTCTTCATAAGCGAATCGAATTGGGAAGAAAAAGAAAAAGAAAAAGAAAAAGAAAAAGAAAAGGCTGTTGTGTCTTGCTAAACTTTTGCTTGTCAGTACATCGACCTCTTTTTAGTTTTAGGATGTAAATAATGTATGTATCGGTAGTATATACCCCCAAAATACATAATTCTAAAAATAGCTCAAAGTGGTAACGTAAACAAAACTCAGAATTGAAGGCACAACAAATTTAATAATTTGGAGAACAACCTGTCTTTCATGAGTCTGTAAAATGTAAGATTTGCACACGCACACATGCACATATAGAAATTCTAAGATTTTTCTCTAAATACAAAGACATCATTTAATTTATCCTTTTTAAAGTATAATTTATGTAGAGCTCGTCAACGCTGATCCAACCTCTCTAAGTACTAATATTCCAATAAGTACATAAATAACTGTATACAGAATTGGCTACGTTAGTATCTAAGCATGTTCCAGTTGCAGTTGCTTCTCACTAGATTTCCCCTTAATAGCATCCTTCACATTTTCTTTCTTTTTATCAATAAACCTCATCAAATTCTTGATACTACTTAACCGAGTTGGATGCCTGTCAACAGCCTGAAAATTAACTGAAGGCGCTATCATTTCTGAGCTGTTGCATCTGAGATACTGACAGAATATCCGTAGGAAGAATACAATGAGAGCGATGATGCAGGTGAGACCACAGATGAGGAAGAGACCCCAAAAACGATTAAAGCTAAGCTGGGTTGAATTGTTGGTGTCGTTTTGTGAATCACATCCCGTTGTGGTTAGCCATTTGTCACGGATTTCTTGGAGTTTTCCATTATCTGACAATGTTAAGATGGCGGTTGAGAGGTCCACGGAGAGAGGAGAGTCTCTTGGGAAAGCCTGGAAGAAAAAGGAATTTAGTTCAGAAAATCAGTATTTTGGTCTTTTTAGCAATTCATCTAACTCCATTACGGGGTTAGTTTTTAAAAAAATTTGAAAACATTTAGGGTATTATCTGAACCACTCCAAACTTAGGGGGGTTAAGTAATATTTTTAAAGTGTAGTCGGGTTATCTCAAAACTTCAGTTGTTTTTTCTTTTTTCTTTTCTTTTTTTTTTTTTTTGAGCGGGAGGGGGGGTTGGAAGCTTGTTTGGAGATATCTGCGCCCTCTTCAAGATTTAGTTATTCAGATAATTCAAATGCAAGATGTGAAGCTTGTTTGGAGATATCTGCGCCCTCTTCAAGATTTAGTTATTCAGATAATTCAAATGCAAGATGT